AGCAATCAGGGCTATGGCTTTAAGAAGAAGAAAAATGAGAAATTTCACGGTTGTCCCTGACCCCAAAGGTTAACTGGAAGCAGATGCATGCTCCAGCTTGCAGGTCAGGAATATCTGCTTCCCAGGCTTTGTATTAATGAAGCAGGAGAAGACGACGAAATACTCAAAGCTAAGGTAAGGCCATAGTCAAGGGGGAAAGAAAAAAAATTGCATCTATTGAGAACCTACCAGGTGCTAGGTTGGCACTGTGATGATACCTAGATATTAAACATCACTTAATCCCTAGAAAACTCCTAAGAGATGTCATTACTCCCCTTACTCCTCAGCAAGGAACCTTCAGGAAGTGTTGGTGGTGGCAGGAGTTTGCACAGCTCTGGCTGACACAAGCTTCTCTTGCTCTGCTACAGGGACAGTAGCTAGGAGCACAGGCTGTGACATGAGGCTGACTTCAGAGGCAGGCTCTGACCCCAGCAGCTAGGTGACCTTTACCCGGCACTCGTGTGCCTCAGTGTCACCCAAACAAACCCTGAGGCAGATATGCCTCCACAAGTCTTAGCATCTCATCTACCTACAGAGCCTCCCAACAGCCTCGGACGCACGGATCACTCTCGTTTTCATTGCTCTTCCCTCCCAGTTTGTTGTATGAAGGCAACAAAGAGCCCCCTCAGGCATGGCTCCATGATTGTGGGGCCCATCGGAAAATGAAAATTCAGGGTTCCTTGTTCAGAAAGCAAAAAAAATGCCATCAAAAGTATTGAAAGCATTTCTTTCCTTCGGTGGTCTCTCCACTTTTATGGTGTCTTTTAATTGGTATTTATGTCAGTCCACATTAAGTAAAATATTAAATTATTAACATGACTTTTATCATTCATTTTTATATCATGAGATGCCAGTTTAAAAATGCAGATATCAGAGCATTTAGCCCATATGCGGAATCACCAAAACTACACAATTGGTATTTTATAGTGTATACCTGCTTGGGTACTTCTTTCTTACCAGAACACGAGAGCTGCTGCACAAAATTAAGTCAACTGTCTTCATTTCACTCCTTGATACACCCACATTCTATCAGCACTCTCTCCCCTCGGCTCACTGTGGGGTAAGGAAGGACTGAAAAGAAAGGTATCTGCAGACTTCCCTCTCTTTCCCTTCCCTCGAGGTCTCCACTTTCAGTGTAAGTGATTAGCCAATGCAGAGAAGTAATGACAGTAAGAGAGGAATGCTAAGCCTCCTCCATCTTCCAGCTTTCTGAGCTCACCATGGCCTTTCTGCGCCAGAAGGAAGTTTGTGGTTCAAGCGGAAAGCATAGCCTCTCGGGGTGGTCAGCACCACACCTACACAGTCTTCACACGCAACACACTTATGTTGTGCTCAGCTGGAGTCTCAGCAAACTCGCAGTACTAGAGGGATTCTAGTCATAAACACCACCTGTGAGTGGGGTGGCAAGAAACAACAGACATGCATTTGTATGTATGTATTGCCCCTGTTCTCGGTCATACTCTGTTGTCCCATGGACTTCACCTTCAACTTGCAGTTCGGAGAAATTCAAAAAGTGACAACAGAGCATTAAACCGGGGCGCCTGGATGGCTCAGTGGGTTAAGCCTCTGCCTTCAGCTCAGGTCATGATCCCAGGGTCCTGGGATCGAGCCCCGCATTGGGCTCTCTGCTCAGCGGGGATCCTGCTCCACCCTCTCTCTCTCTGCCTGCCTCTCTGCCTACTTGTGATCTCTGTCAAATAAATAAATAAAATCTTAAAAAAAAAAAAAAAACAGAGCATTAAACGAAGCATGAGACCCTTCCGAACATGAAGCCCTGGGTGACAGATGGTCATGTGCCCTCGCCCTCCTAGAGTTATTAATTTTAGTCAGGTTGGGGATGCTGTTAAAATATATAGATTTCCAGGCCCTAGCTTCAGAGATTCTCACACAGGTGGTGTAAGGTCAATCTGGAATCTATTTTTGACAGGCTCTTCCTATAGCACTTCCAACTCCGTGAAGTAACGTTCACCTTCCAGGCACCGGCTCTAGTAGTTCACAGCGTTCCTTTCTCTCATGTCTTCCATCCCTCATGGTCAGGGGTTACCACTGAGGAAAAGTCCAGACAAGAAGGTGTGGCAAAGAAAAGGAACACTACTTGGGTGGACCCGTGGTTTGTAAATAAGAAGTGATCATCTGCTTGGCAGTTTGATTAGCTCCCTGGATCTGCTTATTGTGCATCCCTACTTCTGTGCTCCGGGACAGGTCTTCAGGCAGGAGTATCCATGAACTGACGTCAGCCTCTCTCCCCACCCTGCCCCTTGCCAAGGCTTCTGTCTCCATAACTGACCCAGTTATTCCACCTGCTTCTTTAAACCATACTCTTTGGAACCCCTTCAGCTCTTCCTCTCCCTCAACTCATTCCTCCAGTCTGATCTGTCCTCTCAGGTTTTCCTTCCAGATCACACACAAACGATCCTCCTCTTTCCTCTATCCCCTCTGCCTCTACCTTGATTTGGACCTTAACCTCTTCTCTTGAGTCATGGGAACCATCTTCTAGGGAGATTCCAAATCTGCCTCCATTCTGCCCCCAACAATGCTCTGAGAGTCTTCTAAAATCTAAGACTAGGGGCACCTGGGTGGCTCAGTCAGTTAAGCGTCCAACTCTTGATTTGGCTCAGGTCATGATCAGGGCTGTGAGATCGAGCCCGCGTCAGGCTCCGTGCTGGCTGGAAAGATTGCTTAAGATTCTCTCTCTCTCCACCTGCCCCTCCTCCCTTCTCTCTCTCTTTCAATCTCTCTCTAAAAAATAAATAAATAAAAATTTAAAAATAAGTAAATAAAATCTAAAACTTCTATAATTCTCCCATTCAGAATCCTTTCATGGCTCCTGAGCGTCTCATTCATTGCAGTAGACTAAGCCTTAAGGATATGGCTCCTTCTGCCACAGACACTAAATGCCAGCCATGCCCAGCCCCCAGCAGTCCTGGAAGCATTCCGTCTCCTCCGCCTCTACTGCGGTGTTACTCCCTCTGCTTTGACCAGCCCTCTTCAGAACCTCCCCTTTCCTCATCTACCTGCTAACTTCTCATTTGTCGCTTTGCGGGTTAGCTCAGAAACCAACTCAAAAATCACTTTCTTTTGGATTTCCCTAACTGTCCTTCCCACCCTGTCATCATGACTGCCCCCACTGCTGCTCTTCCTCTGATCCCTGTGGCTCTTGAGACAAACTTCCCATCTCCTCTCAGCCAGGCTGGAGAACCTTGAGGATCATGTTGTTGTTGGCATGACACAGGCTTTTGATGACTTGAGGAAGGAGGAATGGCAAGAGGACAGAAAGGAGAAAAGGATATGTCTCACATAAATTGCTCTCCTACCACCAGTTCCACTGGCAGAATACCATCTCCGTTCCAACAGTCTGAACAATTGAAAAGACCATGTAGATGCCCACTAGAACGCCTTAAAAAAGATCCCCATTCACAGCCCACGGAAGAGGCTCTTACAATTCTTTCTTCAGCCCTCTCTCCCTTTGGCTTCTAAAGTCCAACCACTGTCTAAAAGACTTCAATTTCTAATGGTTTTTCTCCTTTATGCCAAACTGCCTTCCTGAATCTGTTTTCTCCGGGGAATTCTTCCTATTTAAAGTGTGTAACCCACCTAAGCTGCTCCACCACTACAGAGGGGGAAGAGATCACCTGAGAGAGAACGAGATTTGTTATGAGTTCCCAACATGGATGGTGCGTAACACAGTGTCTCAACCCTGGCTGCATGCCACACTCACGTAAGCAGCTTCCAAAACAACCCAGCTCAGGGCCCCTGGCAGGCCCATTAGAAAGTCACAGGCAGATTCAAGTATCTCTACATCTCTGTCTTCCATTTTCCAGTGCCTTAGGAAGCCCACCTCTCTACACTCTCTAGAAACCTCCAGATCTTTCTCTCCTTTACCTTGCTTAGCCTAACAACAGAAGCCGAGGGAGAACACAACATTGCCCATAAAAGTGTAGGAAAAGGAGATTGTGCACATTCACAACAAACTTTGTCCATGTCCAAGGAGTCGCTTCTACTTTTTGACTCCTGATGAAACTTCTTACTTCTATCAGGCCTCCTATTCTTCCTCTGACCAGAAATCCTTGCCTTAGTTTCCTACCTGAAAACTTCAGTATTAAGGTCCACAACCACATCTTTCAGAAACTGGATGATATATTTATGTCCTTCCTCCCTGTGGACAGGTCTCTTGTCTCCACTTAACTCAAGAAACTCTGCCTTGGCCTGTGGGTGCTCTGCCCACCTGCTGGAAATGACTGCGTTGACCATCTCCAATCTTTCTAATGGCACCAGGCATACTGCCAGGACCCTCCTCTCATGTCTGATGCTGGTTCTTTCCCAGCCACCTTCCCCTTTCTCCGTGGGTCTGTATCAGCTGTATCCTGAATGTTCTGGGTCATGCAATTCACTGTTCTCCATGGGTAGTCCTGAATTAATGGAGGGAGAATGAGAATAGGGAACACAGAAACAACCCACCTTTAAGTGGTCATAGAGGTATGGTCAAGAGCTTTTATAATAGAACAATCATAGCATATCCCGAGCAATTATGGAAATAACATTCTTAAAACTTCAAATCATAGAATTTCAAAGCTGAAGCTCAGTTATCTCAATCTTTTGAGTCTTCTGATCTATCAGAGCAGTTCAACTCTATGATCAAGTTCTATGTGTTTGTTGTGCAGTGCACACTGAATTTCCTTCAGTGAGATTTTAATCCCAACTTTTTAGGTATTGATCATGCTTCTGGGTTGACGAGAATCCTCACGGCTTCAAAGAAAAACTTCTAGTGTTCACACAGTTCCTGGGTGTGTGAATAACAATACCCAGATGCACACATACCTGAGCGTGGACGAGAGGCTGCACGTCCATTATAACTTCCTGTATGCTGGTCTGTGCCTCAGAACTAGACGATGAAGCAAAGCTGACTAGACTCCTGAATTTTCTCTCAGCAAGCATGACCCACACGTTTCTTCTCATCCCAGGATTGAACGGTGACGATTTCCTGGCCGTGGGTCTGCACAACGGCAGTGTGGTTTACACTTACAACTTGGGATCGGGCACAGCCAGTATCAGCAGTGATCCCCTTGATCTGAGCCTCGCCATCCACACCGTCCGTCTGGGGAGGTTCTTCCAGATGGGCTGGCTGAAGGTAAAATGTCATCCCTTCTTCCGCCCCACCGCTTTGCTGAGCATTACCATATGCCATCGGATCTGTGCAGTAGAGGCCAGAGGCAACAGGCCCATGCTTCCTGCCCCACGCAGTTCACAGAAACTACCCACAGCTGAGGATGAGAGGCACGCTTGCAATTAGGTGGTATGGGGATAAGAAAGGGGGATGACTAATGTAGAAAAGGTGAGAGAGAGGGCTCAGGAAATGCTCCCCCTAAAAGGTGATGCTTGAGCATAACTGCAAATAAATGGGAGTTCAGAACAACAACAGTGGCCAGTGTGGACTTGAAGAACATGAGTAGTTCAGTGTGGCTTTTTAGGTAGGGAGGAGCAGAAGAGGTGGCTAACTGGTAGACCAGGTCTGTATTATCAAAGGACTTAGACGTCACACTAAGAAGTTCAATTTTTTAAAAAGATTTTATTTATGTATTTGAGAGAGAGAGAAGACCATGAGTCGGGGGAAGGGTGAGGGAAAAGAAGGCTCCCCCTTGAGCAGGGAGACTGACTCAGGGCTCCAACCCAGAGTCTCGATCCCAGGACTCTGGGATCATGATCTGAGCTGAAGGCAGACGCTTAACCAACTGAGCCACCCAGGTGTCCCCAGAAAGTTAGATTTTTATCAAGAGCTATGGGGAACTACTGAAAAACTTAAGAAGGGAGATTGGGTACCTCAGTCAATTGACTTTTTTTGATAAATGACTCTGGTGGCTGTATTGAGAAAGGAAGGGGAGGGACCAAGGCTAGATGGAGGGGGACCAGCGGGATGCTAGCTCCTGATCTTTGGAGAACTGTGATTTTGATTGAAATGCAAAACCATGACTGCTATATTAATATATCCATGGTAACAGACACTAGCAGAGAAGCAAAGAATAGAGTGGTGAGGTTTTTTGTTTTTTGGTTTTTTTTCAAAATTCAGGTCTTTGTGAATTTTTCATGCCAAGTTAATGGGAAATAAAACAGTATCTTAACAGTTCACCCTGGGGAATTAATTCCTTTTCTAATACGTTTTGAATTCTTTTCCTTTTGAAGGTAGATGATCATAAAAATAAATCCGTCATCTCCCCGGGAAGACTGGTTGGTCTCAATGTCATCAGTCAGTTTTATGTAGGTGGCTACAGTGAATACACACCAGATCTCTTACCCAGTGGAGCCAATTTTAAAAACGGCTTTCAAGGTAAGGCATGGATGGTTTTACGTTCTACCTACCCGTTTCAAATTCTGAGACAAGAAAAAACCTTAAATAATGTACTTCTTGTTCCAAAACCAGAAATATGGATTTCTTTCTAATCAGATTTGATCGAAATTTGATTTTAATAGAAAGCATTCAATCACTGTTCATTCATCAATTTCTACCTATGTACTACATGTGTAGTGTGTTTCAATGAAGAAAACAAAAATCCCCGCCCTTGTGAGTGTACATTCCAGTTGGGTAAAGACAATAAACACTGAATATGATGAGTAAGTAAAAATACTATAAGAAAATAGTATAAGCTGACAAATTCTGTAGGGAGAAAAAGGAAAAATAGAGCATGATATGGGGGAATCAGGGGCATGACTAAGTTTTTTTTTAAGTTTTTATTTATTTATTTGACAGAGAGAGAGATCACAAGTAGGGCCAGTGACAGAGGGAGAGGGAGAAGCAGACTCCCCCTGAGCAGAGAGCCCAAGGCAGGACTGGACCCTAGGACCCTGGGATCATGACCTGAGCCGAAGGCAGATGCTCAACTGACTGAGCCACCCAGGTGCCTCTAATTATAGATATAGATATAGATATATATATATAGATATATATATATATATATATATATATTTGTATGTATATGTATATCGGGTGCTTTTTAATATAGGGCAAGAAAGGTAAACCTCATGGAGTCACAGTAAAAACTGAAACTCCAACTAACTTTGGAACACACTTGATATGCAGGTGAGAGATGACTGCAGTTAACTGATCCACACCACCTAGGTGTAGCCCATGAGTCAAGAGGGTTAAGGGGGAACATTTTGCTTGAGCAAGTGATTGTATTGTCATTGTCTCTCTGTGTTCAGAAGGGAAATAGACTCAGACCTTCTCCCACAAAGCTGATTCACAATAGAGTGGTGAGATAAAGACATGCATTGAATTATTATATAGTGCATTTGGTGAAAATAAGCTTTTTGACGGATCCTAGTCTCAGGATATTTGCTCAAGGAGCTGTTGGTTATAGTGTCCTCAGCCACCCACCCGTGACCAGCCTACTCTCCGGCAGAAGTCCAGGAGTAGGGAGCAGGGTGTGAGGCACATCTCGGCAGGACAGGAGTTGCCATCAGAAGCCATTCCAGGCACTTGAGTCCTCTGCCTGCCTGGCAGCATCCTTCTCCCCACCTTCCCTGACGTCTGCCGAAACACGGATGCAGGAGCCCATGTACGGGAAAATATGAAAGCAACACAGCTAACCCGCATGACACAAGGTCATCTTCCGGTAAAATGAGTTCGTCTGCCCAGGCTGTCCAGGAAACTTTTTCCTTGACTATGTAATCAGTGCTAAGTCTCAGAAGGGTGTCTTACAGAAGAGTTTAAAGCATGTTAAGGCGCTGTGCTCAGTGTAGGAACTCGACAGTTCTTGCACAGCAGCAGATCATCTGGAAAGAATTGTAAGAGCATGACAAATCAATGAGTTCTTAAAAACACTATATTCAAGAAAAAGGATGGGTAAACTTATGAATACAAAGATGCGCATCTTCCCCTTAGTAAGTGGAGACCCTGGGGGCAGGAAGGGGTCATCAAACCTTGCTGTCATTTATTCACAGACAAATACTCCGGGAATAGGGATAAGAGCGTGGACTCCGAAACCCAGCAACCAGCTGGGGTGTGCACCCCAGCTCTGCCACCTACAAGCCTCAGGGCCCTGGCCAGTCACCTCCCTGTGCCTCACTGTGCCTCACCTGTCAAATGGAGTAAGAACAGCACTTCTCTCCTGTGTAATTCTGAAATTGAGGGAATGCTGAGAGAGCACAAGGTTGGCGCCTGGCTTACAGTGCCTGCTTCACGCTGGCGACGATGACGGTGCTGCTGGTGGGATGGGGCACAGCTCCTCTCAGACACTGGCTTCTTCTTCTCCACCACACATGCGGACACCGGTTAGGAGCAGGCTCTGGAGTCGGGGCTTCCTCAGATTCAGGCTCTGCCACGTAGCCACTGCGTAACTTGTAGCCTGCCACTCGGACTCTTTGAGCTTCCATTTCCTTCTCTTTTCTCCTCAGAGGAGAAAAATATCTACCTCATAGGGTTCTTCTGAGTTAATCAATTAAGTGAAATAATTATAGTAAATGCTTAGTCCCAAAACTAATGCATGTTAAACACTCGATGTATGTTTATATTATTATAATTCTATCGTGTGTCCTTGGATTTGATATCGTCAGATTTATTGAAGTCCAGTGCTTCCTGTGGTTTTCTTGTGTGATTTTCTCCCTTGTATTATGAATTTTCTGTACACCTTGCTAATGAGAACAGAGGCTCTCCCCAAACCTGTCATTTTCTCCGGAAGTGTGTCGGGGAGCCGAGTGCAGCAAGCACATGGCAGGTCCTTCCTCTGACAGAAACACTGGGATTGCACACACCTGGAACCACGTCAGCTGCCAGGGTTCTCGGGATCTAAGTCTTGGGCAGGTTGTCTCAGCAAATGCCTCTTAATCCGGTCTCTTGGAAGTTTCATGACCTTGAAAGCCCCTAATCTTATCACTTGTCTCTTGACTCCTCCCCTGCTGACCACCTCTCGTCTATTATTAACACACATTCTCTATGTTCTGAAAGTTTTGGGTATTTTTTGCGAGTGTACCATCACAACCGGATCACAGCAGGACCCACTACTACTGTCTGTAAAGAAGGATATAGGATAATTTCCTTAAAATATAGATTTCTGGACACTATGCCAGAACAACCTCATCACGATATCCGTGATGGAATCTTTAAATTTGCATTTCAACAAATAAATAAATAAAATTTGCATTTCAATAAGCCTCCCTCAATTTGGAAACCACTGTATTAATTAATCATAACAAAACAAATGCAGAATTTCATGAAAATTTTTAATAAATAGACTAAGGTTGGGCGCCTAGGTGGCTAGGTGGGTTAAAAGCCTCTGCCTTCAGCTCAGGTCATGATCCCAGGGTTCTGGGATCGAGCCCCGCATAGGGCTCTCTGCTCGGTGGGGGGCCTGCTTCCTCCTCTCTCTCTCTCTGGCTCTCTGCCTACTTGTGGTCTCTGTCAAATGAATAAATAAAATCTTTAAGAAAAAAAATAGACTAAAGCTACCACATTTGCTTTAGAATGGAGATTACACATAGTAAAAGAGTATATGACTTAGGCTTTCATATTTTTATAAACACTAGTGATAAATGTCTCTAATCCAGAAGTTCCCTGTCTAAAATATAAATCCCTACTGTTGATAAAGCCCATTTGTTTTTGTTCTGGAAATGGTTTCTAATGAGCCATTACTTCCCTATAACCTTTAATACTTGTGAAGATCTTGAGGTTATTTAACCCTTATCCAGAATAATCGATGTAAGCCAGACAGAGGCCTTACTCTCTCACCTGCTGTAAGAATTCCACCCTCCTCTCCAAAGTTACATCTCTTCCCAAGCTGCAGGGTTCTCAGCTTGAGGTTCCTGGGTGGGATTCAGTGGGTCCTTGAGTCTTCTGAAACCACACCCATAATTGCACATGTGCCCATGTGCATTTTTTTTTTTAAGATTTTACTTTATTTATTTGACAGAGAGAGAGAGATCACAAGTAGGCAGAGAGGCAGGGGGACGCAGGCTCCCCACTGAGCAGAGAGCCCGATGCGGGGCTTGATCCCCAGGACCCTGAGATCCTGACCTGAGCCGAAGGCAGTGGCTTAACCCACTGAGCCACTCAGGTGCCCCCCCAAGTGCATTTTTATGTGAAGAAGATCCCTCACGTTCATCAGTGTTCCAAGATCTGTTGCTTTCACTGACAGACCTATTTAGTCCTAACGTAGAACCAGAAGTTACTCTCGGCCAGTGTGAACCTGGGGAAATCTACCGTCCCAGCTAACTATTATTCTGGTGTTATAGCAGCTCGGATTCATTGATACCAGCATTACTAAGTATTTATCACTCAACTGAATACCAGAGTGGGCATGAAATAGATTCAGATTCATCGACAACACTGTAAAGAACATGTTATTCCAGCTAAAACACCTTGTTCTGTCAGTATGGTCAGTTTCTTGTTAGTTCAGCTTTCTCTCTCTCTTTTTAATGGCATGGTACTTTTCAAAACCAGAACACAAGGTGAGGGGCAGAAAGGATTTATTGCCACAATTTAAGTATTATCTTACTGTCCAAAAAATGCCATCACTTATGTGATACACACGGCTGATATCTTCCAAGTCTTTATCATAAGTACTTTACCATTTGCAGGAAGTATGTATTGGATACGTGGTGCATGGTGCTAAACTTTTCTTTTCCCTAAGATTTTATTTACTTGCTTATTTGGGAGAGCAAACACAAGCAGGGGGAGGAGCAGAGGCAGAGGGAGAAGCAGGCTCCCTGCTGAGCAAGGAGTCCAATGCTGGACTCCATCCCAGAAACCTGAGGTCACGACCTCCGCCAAAGGCAGAGGCTTAACTGATGGAGCCACCCAGGCGCCCCTGCATGTTGTGATACTAAGCAGATTATACTTTGCTGTGTTAGTAGGACTGAAAATATACAGTATATATTCTACATATGGCTTCCACTGTCATTGCCCGTAAACTGCATATGTTGACTGACATGAAGCATCTCTCTGTAAAATAAACACATTTAACTATTTGTATTAGCCAAATGTTTCTCTAAATATAGCATTGCCATGTTTTTAGCCAAAAATCTATTTCAGCAGTTCCTCATAACAAAAGCACTTCATTTATCCATACAAAGGAGAAGTGGTTTTAAATAAAACATTTCAGAATTTAATATTTGTTAGAGTCATTTGCAAGGTTTTTTTAGTGCATGGTTATAAAAACTACAAAAAGCTCAATTTTTGCTAAAAAGAAAAAAAGTTTTATAAAGGCAGTAAAGGTCTTGAGACAGTTAGGAAGACAGAGTAGAATATGCCACCTGCTAATTGCCAAGGATTATACTGGCCAGTTTATGGATATTACCCCATTCCTCTTAATTCATAGAATAGTTATTCTTATCCCCATTTTAAAAGCACAAAGATTGGCACTTGGGCTTGGATCAGCTACCCACTGTGTGGCAGAGGTTACAATTGAACCCAGACCCACCTGACTCCATTCTCTACTCACACTTCTGCTCTCTGCCAAGTGCATTTCACTCTGCAAAAAGCATGAGAAACCCTGCTTTGTTAATTAAGTTACCTGGTTATTCTGTATACAGCTGGTGGCATTCATTAATTTCTTCATTTTGTGCAGTGCTTTTTTTGTGTAAGAGCAGATGGCAGGACTTGGAGAAATAACAAAGGTTAAATCTGAGGCAGGACAATCATTGTTCTCTCACAATAAGAAAATACCAGTGCCTGCTGAGAGTGGTGCTCGTCAGTGAAAATGCCAGTGGAAATTAAGTTGGAAAGTAAATCCTTGACCTTTCAAAACTGAGCCCATCTTTTTCACCATGAGGAATTATTCCATGCTTTTAGCTCCTTAAAGTTTCAAAAATAAAATCTAGGCTAGCCTTTATTTTCTCATTTTAAAGACACTATTTATGACTGATAACCATATTGACTTAAAAATACTTTATAAATAAACTATAAGTGTTGAAGGAGTGAAGTAAAATTATAATACATTTCAGGGTCCCAAACAGTTGCATATAAAGTCTTTGTTGAACTGCCCTTTTTGTTTATATTTTCCTAATATTGGGGTGTTAAAGATCTTTCTTTTCCCAGTACTACTGAATACAATTGACAAATAAAATAGTATATATTTAAGGTGTAGAATGTTATGATTTGGAATACATATACATTGTGAAAAGAGTACTATGGCCGAGTTAACACATTCATCATCTAACATGGCTACCTTGTATGTGTGTGTGGTGAGAACACTTACAATTTATTTTCTTAGGAAATTTCAGGTATATAATACAGTATTATTGACTATAGGCACATGCTGTGTATTGGATCCCCAGGACTTACTCATCTTATAAGTGAAAGTTGGTACCATTTGACTAACCTCTCCCCATTTCTCCCACTCCCAGCCCCTGGCAACCACCATTCCACTCTGCTTCTATGAGCTAGACTTTATTTAGATTCCGTATATCCGTAAGGTCATTCAGTGTATACCTGGGAAAGACCTTTCTAAGGATATACGCGGAGACCAGTCCTGGAAGGGAAAAAAAGAGAAATGAGACAACATAAAAATTACAAACTTCTCTACATAAAAAAATAAGAGCTTCACCATAAGAAAAATTAAATGGCAAATATTAAACTGAGGAAAGTATTAACAATATAGGACAAACAACTAATACACTCATTATGTAAGCAGGTCTTCCAAATTAGTGTTTAAAGTGGTAAATAGAGGAAAAAATTACATAATGAACAAATGTAAAGGAAGAAATACAAATGACTTATAAATTTATTAAGAGGTTTTCAACCCCAATTAAAAATAGCAAAAGAAAGGGACGCCTGGGTGGCTCAGTCGGTTAAGCCACTGCCTTCGGCTCAGGCCATGATCTCAGGGTCCTGGGATCGAGTCCTGCATCGGGCTCTCTGCTCAGTGGGGAGCCTGCTTCTCTCTCAGCCTCTGCCTGCCACTGTGCCTGCTTGTGTGTGTGTGCTCTCTCTATGTCTGACAAATAAATAAATAAATAAAATCTTAAAAAGAGAGAGAGAGAGATTTAAATTTATAAAAAAAAAGCAAAAGAAAATTTTATTCTTTATTCCATTTTAAAAGGAAACACAATAATCTCTTGCATGTGATGATTATGAAGAAGCAGATGTTCCAGTAGTGAGTGGGGGAAATAAAATCGTGCAAAATATCTATGACACTGGGACATCCTTCAAAGCATCCATATCTTTTGTGCTAGTAGTGTTACTGCTAGAAAATAATACTAAGAAAATAATTAGCAAATACACAAAGAATATCCATATAACGTTAATCATAGCATTATTTTTAATAGCAAAAAAGTAGAAATGAGTCAATTGCCCAATAATTGAAGGTTAACTATGTATATTATATGAAACAACAGTAGGCCATCATTTAAAAATAGTTAATGCTATGCAAAAAGGTTAATGGTATTTATGCTATACAAATGCTTGGAATACTATATATTATAGAGTTTAATGCAGGATTCTATTTTTGTTTACAAGAAAATACAGCTAACCATAGAAAAACTGCTGTGTGTATAATAATTAGTGTGTTAATAATTAGTGGTATATAATACATACCAAGATGTTAATAATTGTCTTTTCTGGGGGCAAGGGGTGGCTCAGTTGGTTGAGCGGCCGACTCTTAGTTTTAGCTCAGGTCATGATCTCAGGGTCTTGGGATCAAGCCCCACCTCAGGCTGCCCGCTCTAGGTGGAGTCCGCTTGAGATTCTTTCCCTCTGCCCCACCCCTGCTCACTCTCTCTCTCAAATAAATAAATAAATCTTAAAAAAAAAATTGTCTTTTCTACAGTGTTGATACTGTATATAATTTTTTTTATTTTTCTCTCTGCGTCTCTGTGTTTTTACATTTTTATGGTCTTAAAAATTGACATGTATTACTTTATCATGAAACAAATGCTTCTTTAAAAATTCTCTTCTTGTTTTGTCTGTTTCTTCCAGTGTTTTAATATGAAGTATTTTTGCCTTTCTCCCAGGTTGCATTTTTACTGTGCAAGTTCGCACTGACAAGGGCCGTTTCAGAGGCCTGGGAGACCCTGAGGGCCACCCGACTGCCGGGCGCAGCGTTGACCAGTGCGATGCTTCTCCCTGCAGTTTAATGAAATGTGCCAACGGTGGGACATGCATAGAGGGTAGATCTGCTGCTTAGTAAGTATGACATTATTAAGTAAGAAACTAGTAGGTCATTTGCGTGCTAAGCAGCACTCCACTCATACACACTAGAAACCCACACTGACGGGCACATTCAAAATGTTTTGATGTGGACTTCCTAGGTGACTGGGCGACGGATAAAAGCACCTGGGAAGGGTCCTTGCAACATTGATGCCATCTTCTCAATTCTTTTAAACAATGGAAATGAGCCACTACATCTCATTCCAGACACCATGGAAAAGAATCTTAAATTCATAGCATTGAGAGTGTTAGCAGAAATGTTCATCAAGGCTTTGTGATTGTCCTCAAGAATGAGACAGAAGCAGTTTCTAGGCAGGAAAAAGCCACGGTAAAGACAATCCTGTCGACATCCCCTTACAGCATGGATATATTGGAGTATCAGTAGGAGACAGTTTTGGAAAATCTAAACACATTCTGAAGGGACTGGTTTTAATAAATAGCCATAAAAAAGGAAAGAATTAATTTAGAAGATATTGCAGAGAAATATTCATGGGATATTATGACCTACCAATTATGATTGTGGGAGGAAGGTCAGTGGGGAATCAAATCTAAGTTAATCCAAAACAAGAATGAAAATTCTTGGTGTTCTGGAATGTCCAAGTCATCTAATGTGCTGATCAGTAAATTAAAAATATTAGCTGAATTTTATGGAAACTTGCAAATAAAAAATGTGTAATGTGCTCAAGGCCATGGAGGTACTTAGGACAAAACCTGAGGCTTGGGATGCCACCGTCATAAAGAAATATATGTTTGAATTAGCTTAACCATTATGGTTTTATTGTTACTTCTTTACAATCTTTAATGAAATCTTTAGGTTTGCTTTACAACTTATGCGTTCTAATTTGCTATTTAATTAAGCTTAATTATTCAAAAAAACAAATTTACCTCACTTTATCTAAGAAATGTGGTCATTCTTCAGGTCATCCATGAGGTGTTTTTGTCATCTTTTAATGTGATAATAAGTAAACTGATAGTAATAAAGAATGGAAGTTACAGTAAGAAAGTAGAGGAAATTGAAGGACCACGTAAGAAATTCACTCCAACTCGTCATTATTCCATATGGAATAAAGGGCCTGTTTCCATTTAAAAGCCACAGGTGTTTATCTTGGAAAATATAGTGTCAAGTGTAGATAGACACTTAAAAACTATTTACAGATCATCTTGAGTAATATAGAAAATTTTCTTGATTTGTGGTAACAAAAGTAATACCATACAATTGCACAGCAGCATTTTTGCATACATTATTTCTGTTGCTCCTAATCACACCTTCCTAAATTAGTCGCAGCAAATATCCTAGTCCCAATTTAATGGATGGGAAAGTAAGCCTCAGAGATTGCGAGTAAATCAAGAGGATAAACCAGCACTTTAAAAGTAGTACAGCACGCCCCAAAATCAAATGTTCTAGCTCCAGGATGAAAGCTCTCTCCAGAACCTAAATAACAAGAAATAAATTTTAAAGCAGCTAATGATATAGGTAAGGCAACAAAAGTGTTAAATATCTCTTTAGCTGCAGGATGTAATCTGTTCATTTATTCTTAATTTTTTTTAATGAAGTTGACTTCAATTGACTTTTCATATTTTCTCCAAATTGGAAGTAACTTGCCTTATAACACAAACCCTGGGGGTTTCATGAATTCCTGTGTGGGTGGAAAGCTGTTTCTCACGGTCTAAATTGAGAGCCTTGACTTGAATAACTAATAGACTTGATTAATCATGTACAGTGGGAACGACACCTCTGACAAGTTTCTTTACAGGATTCTAAATCTTTCTTATCAAAATTGGGACCCAAAATGTTTGGGATCTTCTTACTAAAATAACAATAAGGGGCGCCTGGGTGGCTCATGGGTTAAGCCTCTGCCTTCGGCTCAGGTCACGGTCCGGGATCGAGCCCCACATCAAGCCCCACATCGAGCCCCACATCGAGCCCCACATCGGGCTCCCTGCTCAGCGGGAAGCCTGCTTCCTCCTCTCTCTCTGCCTGCCTCTCTGCATACTTGTTGTGATCTCTGTCTGTCAAATAAATAAATAAAATATTTTAAGTAAATAAATAAGTAAAATAACAACAAAATAGTCACCGTATTGACTACACGTGAAGCACTACTGTACAGACAGAAGTAGCTCTTGTGACTATTGCATATAATGACTTATTTAAAGTACAGCTTCCTGAATTTAAAAGGGGCAAATTTTATGGTGTGTAAATTATGCCTCACTAAAGCTGTTTAAAAATATTAAGGTTCCCACTCACAGATATTCAGCTCTACTAGTAGCAGGAGTTTACAGAGAATTTACTCCTTTCAGTAAGTTTTGTAATTCTGCTCCAATCTTAATAATAGGAATCCCTTTTTAAAAAAGATGTTTTCTTTGTAATGTACTTTTCAGTGGTGTTTAAGAAGTTTTCCTCTATCCCAGACTTTTACCTTTACATGGCTCCACACTTTTGTCTTTTACCTAAATGAAACTGATACTAAGTTGAATTTCTAGGTCACAGCATAGACAGATCAAAGCTAAAGTTTGGTCTTTTTCTGAAAAATAACTAACACACACAATAAAATATTTTTTAATGCTCAAAAGGCAAGTCCCAAAAGCATAAATTTCATGGTGTTTCATGCAAACTCTCAAAATTGCTCAGAGTATCTTACCAATGCATAGCTGGATGGTATACATTAAAAAAAACAAAAAACAAAACTCAGAATGATCTCTTTGGTTATCTGCCTCACAGCTGGGAGTAGGAGACATTATGGATACATAAGGGACAGTCTTGTGCCAAGTAAGATAGGGGGTCGGGCTTGATAAGGTGAGGACTCTGGACTCGGTAAACCCTGCAGGCCCTGCTTTCCTGCTCCAAGTATGTCAGCATACACAGATCCAGCTGTGTCCTAATGCAGTTTCTCAAATGAGGGTATAATAAGGCAGAGTTCATGCAAGGCCTTCATGCTCCCGGGATGAGCTCTGATGCAACAGAGAACCAGTAAGCTATTTCGGTTGTTAGTCAGCAGCCAGGGCTAAAAGAAGAGATCTGTTTAGTTGTAACTTATCCATATATGTACATGGGTTTTGTGCAACAGGTTTTTAAGCAGATTTTACTTCATTCAATTTGCATTTTGCTTGACCTTTGTTAAAAACAAGACAACAGGCCCCAAATGGAGTTGCTTATGCTCAGCCCTACAGCGCCAAACTGATACTTAACTTAATTAGAGTTTAGGCTGTCCCAGAAGTGGAGTCTGAAACCGGTCAGTCGGGAATCGCCTGATCAGCACGACTTAGATAATCTGCCTGATAGACCCCTGCCATCCTCTAAAGGAATAAGATCTTGCCATAACCAGTCTGCTTTTTTGCCAGTGTAACTTCCTTGTTTCCCACTCCCTTCTAGCGGTAAAAGTCTTTCATTTGCTACAGCTCCTCAGAGCTCCTTTCTCTCTGCTAGATTGGAGGCTACCCGGTTCAAGTCAATCTTTGCTTAAATAAACTCAAAATGTTTAATATGTCTCAGTTTCTTTTAACACCTTATGGTCAAATTCTGACAATGACTGAGGGGGTGATATGAGGCTTGTTCCTTTAAGAAAAGCACAGGGTAGGGGCACCTGAGTTAAGTGTCTGTCTTCAGCTCAGGTCATGATTTCAGGGTCCTGGGATCCAGCCCCGAGCCTAGCCCTGCATCAAGCCCAGCCCCGCATCGCAATGGGCTCTCTGCTCATCAGGGAGTCTGCTTTCCCCTCTCTCTCTACCTGCCTCTCTGCCTACTTGTGATCTCTCTCTCTGTCAAATAAATAAATAAATAAAATTTAAAAAAAAAAAAAGAAAGAAAGAAAAGCACAGAGTAGGAAAACCGAAACTACAAAAACCAAGCTAAATGTAAAAGTGAGCTGCACAGACAGTAAGTAGGATAGGAGTTCAGAGAGAATGTGGCCGTAAGTTGTGAAAGGCACCCGAGACTTAAACTAAGTTCATAAACGAGGCTTATTCACAACATAAATCTATCCGTGAGTGCAGAATCTCACTGACGCTGGGTTTCCTGATTATTTTTTGGCTCACAGATGTCCAAGAATCAGGTGAAATCTAAAAATCCTTTCCTCTGAAAAATAAACACGCTGAAGACACAAAAATTTGCATAAAATTTTGGAGGTTTCCAAACTATAGTGCCCAATCGTAGACTCTCTGGGGTCCCCCAAACTCTCCAAATTAAGAATTCTTTGTCCATTTTTGTCTTCTGCTTTCACCCAGAAGTGTTTCGTCCAGTCTCCTAGTGCTCCTCTGTGGGATGGTGACGTTTGCCAACTAGTACCCTGCTCCCAAACCCCCCTCCCTCTGAATCTTGCTAAAAATTCCCCTCCTGCCTCTTTCCTGCTCATAATGCTCCTTAGTCTTTCCTTTCTTCTGTTGTTCAAGGTGTGACAGGGCCTGCTGTCATCCTATCTGCTCCTGCTGTGCTTTTCTCCCTGCTTCAATATTCCCAAGAATTGTATCGCTCTGTCCAGCCCCTCAAGAAATACCCCATCTCCAAGCAGCCAGCGGGTGTAGCCAGCTGGGTAACTCACTACCTCCCATTTGGTTTTCTTCCTTCCCCTCACTTCGCTCTCTCTCACTCTTGCTTGCCAGGCAGAGTACCCCTTCATTTCCGTGGAACTGCTTTTAGACTCTGTTTTCTAGGGGTTCCAAGTTAAGGCTAAGATTAAGAGCTAAAAAACTTGTCTAATCTTGCGGTGAGGCTATAGAGAAACAGACACTGGCGCTACCAGAGCAAACTCTCTTCGTTTAAACACAAGATGTGCGTCACTACGTATCTGATAAGTAAAGCTAGAGAACATTTACACCACAGAGGACATGGCTATGAAAATCTTTATATGTTGCTATGTTGCTGTGGAGTGATCCTCAGGATATAGAAAGTGAAAAAAGTAGGGTAAAGAAGCATGCAAGAAGAGGGAATGATAGATATAGATAAATAGATATAAATACATACACATAGACACGTGTATTTA